TTTTAATGATTTATATTATACCTCGTAAATAGATTTATATCAGTAACACTTTATTTCAAGGACCAACTCTCACTATTAACTAGTTGCTTATTAGCATGCCTATTTCTAGCATATTAGCAATTTATTAGTACTTATAAACTTATACACAGGTTAATGCCTTATTCTGCATGACCATATTTTAGACCCCATAATCCTACCCCATACCTAAACTTAACAACTACCTTACTAACTATTAATAAGCAGCAAATTAGGAGTTTCATTAAGCAAAAGTCATAGTTAATAGTTAATAGTGAGAATTGGTCCCCAAACTAAAGTGTGACCGATTTATCTCATGCTCCTCATTGTTATTGCTTGAGCTAGCTTTGATTATACTAGATTCCCTCTTTTCTCAGGGTCCAGAGTTTGACGAAGAAGCGGAATCTGACCTGACGGTGACAGAGCTCAGAGAGCGTGCTAGAAAACAGAGAGAAGAGCTGGAGAAGAGGATGATGGGTGATGGCTCAGATGAGGAAGAAGAGAAAGAGGACAGCGAAGCCAGTGCTTCAAGGAGAAGCTCCTCAGAAGAGACTGGCTGCTCTTGGGGAATGGGTAACAAAGACAACAGATGATCCTCAATCCATTGTAACTACCTAATTTTAGTGAACTTACACTTTGTCCTTTTTTTAGCTGAAGAGGCAATGCCAGAAGAGGATGAGAATGAGGAGAATCCGTTTGCCACAGAATTTCAGGAGGATCAGGAAGCAGCATACTTAAAAGACCCTAAAAAGGCATTACAGGGCTTTTATGACAGAGAAGGTAAAATAGCTTGATTCAAATGAGGATACAGAATCATGAAATCTTGATTTCTTTGCCACATACAACCATGAAATCATATGATTTTAACTGTTTATTTTCATTTCAGGAGAAGAACTAGAGTTTGAGTATGAAGAAAAAGGCCATGGTTCCTGGCTCTGCAGAATTAAGTAAGCACTTAATCTCTGTTTGCAGCCAAACCACATTTGCATCTTTTTTTGGTTTTATAGTAGAGATGCACATTAAATATCGCATGCGATTTATCGTGCAGCCCTATTTTATAGCCATTTAACACCAGCTACCAAAATTGGAATGATTGGTGGCTAAATTATCTACGGAAATACACAGACTGGTTGATCTTAAATGGCTATGCATTTGTGAATATTACTTATGAAAAAGGATACAGGTGATTTTGGTGACATTTATGTAGAAGTTGAGATTCAAAAATATTTTGTTTTGAAAATACTGTGATTGCTGTCTTTTAGGTTGCCGGTGGATGATGCTATGGGCAGGCAGCTGGTGGCTGAAGTGACCCACACAGGAAAAAAGAAAGAAGCGGCCGTCCAGTGCTGCTTAGAGGCCTGCCGCATCCTGGAGGCCCGTGGTCTTCTGAGACAGGAGGCAGGTAGGTAGACGTCAAACAGTCATACCAAAGGACTTATGACTGGGCTCATACTCATGGATAAACCTTTTTAAAAATGGCCATGTTAACTGTTTGTTTGTTTACTAAATAAAATGTTCCAAAAAAAAATAAATTTGTCGTTTATGTATTTTGGTTGGCATTTTGTGTAAAACTGTGGATTTTTGAATTTTGTAGGAGTGATCAGTTATGGGTTTTTCAGGGTCGACTCCTCAACTCCATTTACTCACAGGGTCAGCAATAAGCAGCAACAAGATTGCAGTTGTTATATTACACACTAAATGGAGGCTATTTTTTTTTTTTGACACAAAACATTTTAAACATTAAAACAACGTATGGCTGCCCAAATGAGTCGAATTTAGAGATGACATTACTTTGAAATGCTGAGTATCACATTGTTTTCTAGTTGTTGCCAGTATATTTAATTTTAAAGAGGGAAAATTCATCAAGAAACAGCCTTCTAATATTATTTCAGAGCTAAATGTATGAGAGAGAACATGTTCTTTGAATTAATATAATGGCCGGGTGAGAGGGTACTAAGCACCCATTGTCATCTTTTAGTGCAAAAATGTTCTTGGACAGGAAAGTTCAAAATATAAAAAATAATAACCAAATACATATAATGTACTTACTATTCTGTTTATTCTTTTTGGCAGTTTTTTTTTTTTTATGGATAGTTCACCCAAAAATGAAGATTCTGTCATCATTTTCTCACCCTCGTGTCGTTCCAAACCAGTAAGACTTTCGTTCATCTTTGGAACACAAATGAAGATATTATTAACAAAACGAAATCTAAGCGATTTCTGTCCCTCCTTTGACAGTCTATGCAACTGCCACTTTGACATTTCAAAAAGTTGTTAAAGAGATCGTAAAACTAATCCATATGAAACTGTTTAGACCAACTTTTCTGAAGAGACTCAATCACTTTATATGATGAATATATTTAATTTAGGCCTTTATTCACGTATTTACATTGATCAGTATTTTCACCGTATTAAGTGACTGGGTTTTAGAATTTAGTTTTGAGATTTTTAATATTCATATTTTAAATTTTGCCCTGTTTTTAAGTTGTTGGTCTCTTTAATGATATTTTTTTGCTGACAGGTCAATAAAACTTCTAGTTTTCGTTCTTCTTCTTCTTTTGTCAGGCATTTATAGTCCACTTACAAGCATTCTATTTTTGTCTCTTTGCAGTGTCCCGCAAACGCAAGAAGAAGAACTGGGAAGATGAAGATTTTTATGACAGTGATGATGACACGTTCCTTGACCGGACAGGTGCAGTGGAGAAGAAGCGCACTGAACGCATGAAGAAGGCTGGAAAGATTCAGGAGCGTCCTGATACATATGAATCACTGGTATGGAACCTGCATCATATTTCCTTTGTGATTATCCATGCCCCTGTGTGTGCTGTACCTGGTATTGATGTAATATGTATTCTTTCTTAGCTAGCCAAACTGGCTGAGGTGGAAAAGGAGCTGGCTGACGCTGAGAAAAGGCTCAGTTCTTCTGAGAAAGGTAAGGTGGTGAAAGCCTCTGTCCTTTTTCATGTTTTCCTCCACATTTCATCATGTGTAAGGTTACACCTCCTGTTTGTTGTCCTCCTTCAGGAGTCTCCAGTTCTTCCACCGAGGACCCTCTGGATGCTTTCATGAGCGCCGTACGGAGCGAGGCCGCTCTGGATGGGGTGGAGAGAAAGAAGCTACATTTACATGTAGCCGAGTTGAAGAAGGAAGGTCATAGACTGCGCAAGCTAGCAGACCTGGCCAAACCCACCCAGCTGCCCTCATTACAGGCCAGCAGGTGAGCTCATGCTGCGTTCAAGTCCTCCTGGGACATTCGTACTTATGAGTTGACAAGTCGTAATTACGACATCAGGTGCGTTCAAGTCAGTTTAGTCGGCACAAGATGGCGGTGTACCTTCTTTTAATAAATTACAAGAAAATACAACAGGGTCTGTTAACTCTGCTTATAGAAAATGAAGAGCAAAGAATTCGCATCAGGTGTGGTTTGCGTTTTTAATATTTTTTTTTAGACCAGGATCCCAGTATAACTGATATTCAGCATTAACAAATGCTAAAATACAGAGATTAAAAAAAGCTGTTAGCTAAATGCAACATGCAACATGGCAAATCAAAAGATTTTTCACCTATAGCTGCAAAAATGATAGCATTTTTTTTACTTGGATTTCATTAACTAGCTGCGTAACAAGAACATGACCAATTTAAGTTTATAGGACAACTAAACTATCAATTTAAACAAAAATTTATGCTCAACTACAGACGTTGCATCCATCGATTCCGCCATGTTTCTCATTGACACGCCCCCAACTCGGAAACTCGGGGCTTAAAGAAAATTTCGAGTTTCCCACTCGTAATAACAACTTTGTTGTGGCGTTCATGTGCGTTCAACTCGTAAATACGATCTATTCGACATGACTTGAACGCACCATCAATGTTCCTTTCAGATCTGCTATCAAAAGTAGGGCTGTACCATAGACTGTAAAAAAAAAATGGATTTCATAGGGCCTAATTTTGTATATAATGTTTTTGTCTGTTTGCTTTAAATACAAATCTAGTAGTCAGGACACTGAGAAACCTAAGAAGTTATCTCTGCCTTTGTTTGGAGCCATGAAAGGAGGGAGTAAATTCAAACTGAAGACTGGAACTATAGGAGTGAGTCTTTTTACATTTATATAGGAATAATATATAGGTCATTCTTAGGCTCTGTAAGAGTTGCATATGGCTCTCTCTCTCTCGCCTAAATGAGTAGACGTTACCCCCAAAGCGAACCAATCTGCCTCCTGAGCTCTTCAACATGAAAGAAATGCCCCCTGGTGGTGAGGAAGAGAAAGAAGAACAAGAGGAGGAGGAGGAGGAGGAGGAGGAAAAAAACAAGAAAACAGAGGATGCGGCCACAGATGGGGATATGGAGGTTGTTCAGTCTGTAGAGACGACCAGCTCAGAGCACTCCAGTGCAGACAGAGCTGAAACTCAGACACACCGCCCTAATGGTTAGACATTGACAAAAATAACTACCCACCACAGCCCTAACAGTGATCTGGGATGAAAAGCTTCATTAGGAATTTAAAACAATATTCTTAGAGTAGTGTAATTCTATTTCTGGCCACAAGAAGGCAGTGTTGTGCTTCACAGAGTCTAATTTGACTTAAAGGGGTGGTTCACTGGTTTTTTTCTAGGCTTGATTGTGTTTATGGGGTGCAGTCTAACATGTGTTAATGCTTAGTTTAAAAAAAAAAAATCATTATTTTTCACATAATTTACCTTTATTCCACACCGCTCTGTCCCTTCTCACCTCTAGTTTTCTCTTCCTCTTCTCTAAAGTAGCGCAGCATGGCCTCACCCCCTTTGCCGCCTTTTCCCGAGGGCGGGGTTTATCTGGGTTTGTGATGTCACGAACCCGGGAAGTACCTCGTTGTAGACTCTACCAGCTGTTTTTGTAGGCATTAAACCGCCCGAATTTTAAAAGACGATATCTCCGTTTGCATTGAACTTTCAGCTTCGTAACTTTGCAGATTTTGTTTATGCTCAAACAGCAACATTACACACTAACTAACGTTAAAAAAGTGAAATCGCAATCAACCACCCCTTTAACTACCACTTTGGACAAAATGTCATCCATAATATTAGCCTGTAATCATAGCTAGATGTGCTAGATATTGTCTAAAATATTTCTGTGTGTCTAGCCAAAGGAGACCACGAGGACCAGCCTGCTAAGATAGTTGCATCTCGTGAAAAACTGAAATTCAAGTCTCCCCATCTTCAAGACAAAAGTGCCTCTCCTCCAAAAGGTAGAATCGGATATTCTATGTATGGTTTCACGTATTCTGTTGAAATGTCTAATTTCTTTGAAAGGTGAAGTGTGACAGTTTTAAAACTTTTCTTCCGTTTGTCCATTGATTGTTTGTGCTTCTAACTTTACCTTTAAGTGGCTAATGGCTGTGACAAATGTCTGATGCACTTTGTTTTTAATTATGATTCATATCCCAACAGAAGAATATGACAGCAGTGTCTCAAATGTCCAGAGTCCAAAGACAAATACAAAGAAGAAAGTTATTGGCCCAAGCAGGGTAAGTATTGTAATACTAAATTATTATTATCCGCATAAGATAAGGCAAAGATTGACAAAAGTGCTAAACAAGGTTTGGACCTACACTGGCCCCAAAATATAAAAAAATTGGCTTTTATTTTAAAGAAAGTTAACACAAGAATGCTTTTCAAATGAAACGTTTCTCAAAAAGAAGCGTGTTAAGTATTAACTTATAAAACTACTGATATACTATTCGAAATGAAGACAAAAAAAGTGATTAGACTTTTTCTGGTTGTCAAACCAGACCATGTTTGTAGTAAATCTGATCGATTACATGCTAGTGCTGCTAGCTAGAACACCTTTTGGATACAAGATACAAAATAATTCTTTTGTATTGTTTTTACAAGGTCACTCTGCTAGCTGGAACACTTGTGTGATCATTAAGTGTGTAAATATGTTTTGCAATGTACAATTTGTCTGTAACTTACAGTAAGGTTCTAGAATTAGTTTCCATGTGCCCTGATATTTATACATATCTACCCTTATTTCTAGCCTCCTGTGACCATGTCTAAGCAGTACCCAGAATCCATTTGACATTGTATTTTCTTCAAATGCATCAGTCATGTCAATCCACTTATGTTTAAGAACTTCTGTTGTTGACAAATCTCTACCCACAGCTTGCTGTTCTTGGATCATTTTAACAAGCCTAAGCGAGCTCATTGACCACTCAATGCGCTGTTCTGGGTCATTCTCGGAACAACGGCGGACTCCCTCCTCAGTTTGGCTGAGTGGCCACGCTCCGTATGGCGAGAGCTCCTGTTGGACGCGGTTCTGTTGACTGCTAACGATGCCTCCTCGGAGAGAGGCGGCTTTACCAGCCATCTGGACACTTGCTTGGCATTCTAGGATTGGGAGCAAGCTGTTAATGAATCAGTCTATGTGTGTGTGTTTGCAAGAATGGGAGTGATAGTGAGCTCCGTGTACATTATTAATGTGTGTCTTCACTTCTCTTGATATTAATGAAGAGTGACTCAGTGTTGGTGATGTGTGAGCTTGTGTGTGTTGGCGTCTCCGAGGATTCGCTACTACGCACTGGTCTCTCTGTTTATGCAACCCTTTTAGTGCTTTTGAATTCTCCATTGTTTGGAGAGCATGATTAGTCATATACAAAATGTGTGTTTTGTTATTTTGTAAAATAAAAAATGTACGCTGTGTCTCAGCAACATGGAGTCTTGTGTTGAGGTTTTGGGGTCTTCTAGCCCTATAAAGCCTACTTTATCATATTTGATGAGCAAATTTATATGGCCTCTAAATTATCAACATGATCAGATGCTTCCTGAAACAAATTCTATATGCCTTTTGTCATCTTGTTGATTGCCTTTGACTATAATTCTAAAAATGTTCCTCTTCAGGTCGTGGTTGTGTTTTTGTTTTTTCTATGAAGTAAATTATAATATTAATTACAATATTAATAAACACTTGATTAAATTAGCTGTTATCACATTTTGTCATTATCTATGATCTTTTTAAGGAGTGTTGAATGTACAAGAAAGGTTAAGGTAACCATAAAATAAATCAATACGTTTGTGTAAAAACAAATAAGAAACGTGTTTACACTAATACATTTTCAATGGAATTCTATGGGTCAAGGCTTTCTGGAGGGTGTCGAGCAGAAATACAATGTTTGTTTAAGCATTTCTGATGCTTGTTCTGTACAAAAATGTACTATACATACATATATATATATATATATCCATCCATATATAGCCACCTTCAAGAATCGGCTAAAAACACATCTCTTCCAACTTTATTTGACCCTCTAACTCTAGCACTCTATTCTAATTCTATTCTTTTAAAAAATGCCCCTTTTAGACTTGCACTCTATTCATTTACTAACTGCTGTTTTCTTTAAAGGGGTCTTATGATGTTGCTAAAAAGAACATTATTTTGTGTATTTGGTGTAATGAAATGTGTTTATGCGGTTTA